GGAGTTGTGGGAAACGTCTGGCAATATACAGCTGCTCAGCCACAGACTTAGGGAACACACTGTACCCCCATTAGGTACTGAGAAAAAGTTGTAATATAACGAGTAAAAAAGCACAAATGTAAACATTTTGCACTGTGAAAGCCCGCTTCTTTCTCAGCTGCCCATGTCTGGGGTACCTCAAGGAGAGAAATGGAAGGGGCCTTTGACCTATCTTCCTGAGTGTGCAGGACTCCACTCTGCCCCACACTGTCACAGCCTATGCACGGATGCTCCATCCCAGACCATCTGGGCAGAAGGGCTGGCTAAGGTCACAGAGAAGGGCTTCTTCATTGCAGGCATAGGTGGATGAGAATGGCAGTTTATATGTTGACTTTGATATGCTGAGTTTTCTTTTCTTCAAAGTCAATCTTTCACTGCATAGAGAAGCTGGGAGGGCTACATTTGTCAGCCAGTTTCACAGCTGCATGGTCCCATGGGATACTGAAGACAGCCAGGGACATGGCCAAGGACATCATGCTGGGGTACTCTACAGGTTGGGAAATGATGCAATAATGGAGTGAAGGAATGCACATGTGGTCAGTGAAAAACCTTTCATCTGGGTGATATCAATCGCCTCCTATTGGTTTTATCCTTTCTACTTTTGCCTTCTTCAGTATATTCTCCACCCAAGAGCCAGAATGATTTAAAAAAAAAAATCAGGTTCTAAAATTCGATCATGGTGATGGTTGTACAATATACTAAAAAATCACTGAGTAGCATACTCAGTGATGGGTGAATTTACGGCATGTAAATTCTCTTTCAATAAAGCTGCTAAAAAGTGAAATTGCCATTCTCATATCTAAAACTGTCCACTGGTTCCTCCCATTTCACTTAGAATTCATCAGACTACTTACTGTGACCTGCAGAATCCTGCCTTTCCCGTGGACTCTGTCTACCTCTCCAACCTCATCTCTCGCCAGGCTACCACTTACCTCCACTCTCTGCTGAATATGCCTACCTTGATCCTGCCTTAAGGTTTGGCACTTGCTCTTAGCTCTGCCCCAGACAATTTTCTCCATAATATTCTGAGAGATGATTCTTATCATTCAGATCTCAGCCTCCCAAACTGAGATAAATAAATATTTTCTTCATCATTAGCCTGCCTTAAACGTTTTGTCCTATTAAGGAAAAAGATTAAACTATTGTCATCCCACTTTAATTCATACAACTTCATCAATAAATTACTATCATATTTCATACACACACACACACACACACACACTTCTATTTGAAATTATCTTTCTACCTTTTTACCCTCACTCACATATAAGCTGAGGCTAGAGAATCTTGTTTATCTCTGGAGAATAGTACCCCAGATGCTGCAGGTAGTAACAAAATGTTAAATGTTGCCTGTCTGGTTCCTGTGTAGTTCCCTAAAACTCATCAGAAAAAGATACCAACATTTACCTTAGTGTAGCTTTACAATAAAAACAAAACAGTTTAAAAAATGGTTTTGGATTTCTTTTATGACACAGCAAAATTAATAAGCTTCTATCTGTGAACTGCCAGTTTCCAAAATTAGAAATTGAAATGATGTTAATATTCCACTATACAGATTATATTACAGTGCCACTAAACTTTCAATCATGTCCACTTTGGGTGGTTAGGTGAGGAGTGACGACTTGTCTTCCAGTTCTGAATTACTAAATGGCATTTACAGACTTAAAAAAAGACCAGGGTCATAAAATATGTTTCCTCATTCTTTTCTTTTCTATTAAGAACTCTTAGAAAAGTAAGGTAGTATTTGTAAGTATACAGTCAATCACAGAAATTTTTCTTTTAATAATTACACTGTTAATTATAATTTTCAGAATGATACAGCTTAATGATAGTCACACGCGCAGAACTGGTCGTAACATCAGACATGTACAGACCACTGTCGCCTCCCAGGGCCTCTTCATGCATTAGCTCATTTCACCTTTGCAACAGTCTATGGAAAAGGCAGAACAGGTACTTTTTTTCAGACTTTCTTGAGGAGGAAGCAGAAGTTCAGAGTTAGAGCCATTTGCCCAAGGTCCTACTGCCAGTAAAGAGGAATTCTAGCCAAGTGTTTTTCTGACAAATCACTTGCACTTTCTTTTTAACGCCTTATTTGGGAAACCACAGCAGTTCTTACAGATTAAGCAATCACACATGACAGCAACCTCAAGCGTGGGGACTAGCAGTAAGAATTTGTATTCAATCAGAAACTGCTTAACCTCACTTTAACAATCTATATATTCCTGAAAAGTCATCACTTTGGTCTTTAGTAAGGCCAAATTATACACCTACTCAATTTAACATGGTTCATTGTTAACTATATTGACTTGCAGAAACATCACTAGAGCTCAATCTTTGATGTTTGTAAGGTTTGTGCTCTGTTTATAAACAGCCTTAGAAGCCACAGGTTCAACTTTTAAAGCTTTTCAGAAGGAATCAGTATTTTAATAAGTAAGAGCTTATGTCAAGAAGTATCTTTACATTAGCATTTAAGAAATCCTTGCTTCTTCCAAAGGAAGAATTTAAAGAGAACTATCAGTAGGAAGGTTAAGATTTACTCTCCATGTGCACACTGGCATTATTAGTTCACCCTTTTCTAGCTGACAGAATGCCTAATGTTGATTTGTCCCCCTTCTTATAATGCACCACTTTTTCAGAAATCTTTGATAAATCTATGAAAAGAATTTCCTTCCTGATAAATCTATGAAAAGAATTCTCTTCTCACCAACACCCACATAGCTTCCCCCAAAGCAATTTCAAAAATTAGATTCTTCCATAAGTAGCTAAGCATTTAATCTTTAGAAACACCTCTTAGGCTGCTATTCCAGCTAACAAGATTAACAAGTTTTGATGTGAATACTTCAGTGGCAACCTGTAACAAGTTGTCCTTTGAGAGAGTTCTGTTGATTACTATGTATGAGAAAAATCTTCAACAGGGTTATTCAGTATTCATATTTTATTTACTATTCTTAACAACTATCACTGGAAAAAAAAAAGCAATAACCTAATCTTTTTTGCATATGCTTCTTTCCCAGTTACTATCCCAGCACACCTCTACCTCCACTTCCTCCCCCTAAAAGTCAACTACTTTATTTTCCGTGAATGAACATGTTTCAGCTGCTTACCATTTATAATACCCTGTTTATTCTTGACCTGTTAAACTGCATAGCTGCTACAGGTCATTAGTTCAATAACTGATTTTCATAACCTGAATCTGAAGGGCTCTTAGATTTCAAATTGCCCTTTGAATCAAAGATGTAATGATGCTCTGTAGTTCTTAAGCTAAATAAACATTAGATACTAATTGTTTTAAAAAGTTTGAAATTATGTCTGACAAAAACAACTCGCTACTTCACCAGAGTGACTTAGTCTGAATTAAGACATCTCCTGGCTCAGATTTGTGTGCCACATACATAGATAGATATAGATCCACAGAGATAAACAAATCTCTTCAAAAAAGCCATGAGAGAAGATGCACTAAAATTCCCATACTCTATGATCATAAAGTATCAATCACACATAGCACATATGATTTCAACAAGCTGAAAAGGACAATATTCTCCCAGAATGGTTTGATTAAGCATATTGGCTCACAAACTTTGGTTTGGGCACCATCTAATGGCAGGAAATGTTTTGTTTCCAAGGGGCTTGCTAATTCTTGTATTTTAGCTTACACAGACTTGGAAAACATCTGATTTTCTTGAAGTTAAATGTTCAGTTCACTTAAAAAGAGTAAGCCCTTTAATGCTTACTTTAGAATAAAAAGCTGTCTTTTACAGTGGGTAGATATATCAATAAACAAATACTCTAAAATATTCTATTCTACACTTAAATATTTAAATTTAGCCTCATAATTAAGAACTTACTTTAACTGAATCATTTTGTTAGTTATAAGCTCTCAAATTATTCATATATATATATATATCCTTACAATAACCTCAGAATTAAGTGAACTAACATATATAAGTAGCTATTAAAACCAACTCTGACTGCATAGTGATATACACACCTTTAATACCATACACACTTGATTTTTTAATAAGTCCTTGGCTGAACCCAAAATTTGTTTTGTGATTCAACAAAGAGGTAAAATAATATAGAACAGATGACCAATGTTTTAAGAAAAGATATTTATTATTTATACCACTGAAATAGTCCCATAAGAACAATATACACCATGTTTATTTAAAAGGATCAATTCCTTCCAAATACAAGAACTGTATTAAAGCAATACTGTCAACACGAAACAGTGGTCACATTACATATCTGCAGGCTTAAGCATTGCAAATGATATATTTTTTAATCTTATGGCTAGATATTTTCACTGAAACACAGTGTTAGCACTTAGACAAGATAGAGCTGGAACAGAACAAAAACATTTTGTTCATGCTTTTTAGAGCTAATTGGTGGGTAATATATCCCATTTTAAAGTTTATTGCCTTAAACTGCTTTTATGACAATGGTTCAGGCACAAGTGCTCCTACTTAGCCACAAAAAGAAACACTCTTGCCCCTTAATTTTATTATTCAGTCTTACGTTTTCTATTTCTCATACGAGGACATGTCTGTATCACAACTGATGTTCTCCAGTTTTTACTTAAAGAACACTGACACACACAGGCCAAAGTGAGACAGCTCAGAATTTAGAGCTGTAACTAGTGAAATACAGGAGAAAAATTTTGTGACAAAAGAATAAAAATTCCTGGTAATTTTAATCATAACAAACTAGGTTCTATTTTTTTTTTTTTTTTTTGGTCATTAAGGGAAAAGCCCTAGTTTCAAGATGGGTCTGGCCTTAGATTTAGGCAATCGATAACACAATGAAGTTAAAACACAAGACATAACCTGTTCCCCAAGTCACAAAATGACACTGTTGAGTAAGTTTTTCTTCACTTGTCTTTGTCTTCCTTTTTTTCCTTTTTTTTTTTTTGGTGGAAAACATCTCAGTAATCAATGCTGGAGAAAATATTTTTCAAACAGCATATTCATATGAGGGGAGAAAGAATTTTTTTAGCCTATTGCTATGATCTTCAAAAAATATAAAATTAAACTTACAAAAAACTGGAAGACCAAAGGATAAGCAGTCTGGTATTTGCTTCAGTGTCCAGCACTATCATAATGATTTCTAGCATAAAAGCAAAAAGTTCATGGATCTCAAGTATCTTCAATAACTGCCAGTATAACTTGTAACTACTGTCCTTGCTTCTTGGAGAGATACCTGCAAGAAATAAACATTTCAAAGCTAAATTCATGGAAATAATCTAACTCTCCTCCTAAAAGAGGTTTGACTTAATGACAAAGCCTTTCAAAGTATTACCTGTAAATATTCAATAACAATTGTTAATTATCTATGGGCCAAGCATTGCTGAAAGCACATATATTAATGTTAGACCTCATGAGAGCTTCATGAGGAGTTTCTGATAGAATCTATTCCCCTTTCAAAGGCACACAGAAGATAAGCAACTTGTCCAAATTCACACAGCTAGAAAGTGCCAGATTCAAAACAAGGTATTGTTTTGATAGGTGCATTCAGGAGCTATCAATCCATGTTGCCTGCTTTCCATCATGAAAGCCAATATTAACTAGTACTGTAATTTCTAAATCAAAGTCCATTTTAAGATCTTGTTTTTCTTGTGTCAAGAGAGTAGGCCAAAATGCTACAGGACTCTGATCAAAAGTTTGTAAAAAAGCCAGGTGCAGTGGCACATGCATGTAATCCCAGCAGCTCAGGAGACTGAGGAAGGAGAATCTTGAGTCCTGAGCCAGCCTCAGCAAAAGCAAGGTTGTAAGCAACTCAGTGAGAACCTGTCTCTGAATAAAATACAAAATAGGGCAGGGGACATGGCTCAGGATTAAGTGCCCCTGAGTTCAATTCCCAGTATCCTGCCCCCGCCCCACAAAAAAAGAATTTGTAAAAGATGCAAAGATGTTAATTTACTAAGAAAACAACTTTTTCTTATATTATTTAATAGGAATCTACCAGTAATTGAAATTTTTATATCACTATTTCTCACATTTATGACCTACTATAGTGAACAGGAAGGGAGGTGTTGGGGGGAGAGGGTCTTAAGATCCAGAAACCTGAGGAGTTTGGATGCCCATGCTCACTTTGTGCAGTGTGCTGATCTCCGTGACTCAGCTACAACACCTACAATCTGAAGATGGGGATAAAAATGCCTGCTTAATCTTCCTGATAGGATCATGAGACTCCAATAGGATGCTGTGTCAAAGTGATTTGAAAAGACCAAAGTGGAATTTGAAAAGCCAAAGCATAATTACATGAATTGTTTCTTTTGCTTCTCTATTGTTGGAACCATGTCAAATTAAAAAAAAAAAAAAATTATTTGTCATACAGAGCAATCCTTTTCATTTCTCCAGAAATTTTTCCCCCGCCTCAAAATCTTGGTATCTTCTATGTAATCTATGTTAAATTTGTGTATATGACTGTGCTTATAAAAAAGACTAGAAGACTACACACCCAGATCATAATAGTAGTTTTCTTTGAAAAGGAAAATCATAAATAATTGTTTTTTCAGTGGGATAAAATTTTTCTAATTTTTCTCTATACACTGAAGTTATCTGTAATTTTTAACACATTTCAGGAAAATTCTTAATGAATCTTATCCTTACATTATTTTACAGTATAAGACCAGGTATTAAATTCCCATGTGATTCATAGGCAAGTAGCCACCCTAATGTCACAAAGATAATTTATAGGCAGAATAATGAACGTGTACCAGTCTTTCAAGTCCTTTCTACTAGAAATGCTAAAAAGCTTATGAGATATGATTTTGTAAGCAAGTTAAAGGTTAAAACTAAAGGGAAAAACACTCATAGGGGGGATGTCACTGGACTGGAAAATACTTTTAGAACTCACCCATTTTAAATAAAATTAAGAACTATGTGTATTCTGGCATCACCAATTTTTTCCATTCTTTTGAGTAAAGAAAAAATGAATATACAATTAACACTTACCTTTCCCAATATTTGTGATTTAGCTCCAAAAAGTCATCTAATTTTGCTATTTCCTTGAGGTACTGAGTTAATTTTAGAAGTTCTTTGTCCTTATCTCGATTTAGGTGTGCTTTCATAAAAGGCCTTATCTATTAGGAAACAAACAAAACTTCAATTGTAATAAGGGGAAAAAACCCTACACCATTCTATCATTTAAATAGTCACTGAGGCTAAAATATCACAAAGGACATCAATATTAAAACCTACTTTTATAATAGCCTAAGTTTGATCAATTGAAAGTCACGTATAATGTTTACAGTTCAACCCAAAAGCTCTTCCACCGATTCCATCTAACACCCCTTCAGCTTGAACCTGACAACACCAGCTTTCTGCACCGCACCTGGACCCAATCCGGAGACGGTTCCTCTACTTTGCAAACTGCACAGCTTATACCTTTTCCCCTTCCATCATTTTAGTTGATTCTTACTAATTTTCATTCACAAAAAAGTTAACCCAAATAAGCCTGATCTAAGTAGAGAATGAGATAAATTTTAACAGTGGTAGTTTTTATTTCAATATTTTTATGAGATTTTTATATAGCTAAGATATCAACATACATGTATACAACCTGTCACATTTTATAAGCATTTTTCTTCTTCATTAATTCTCTATAAAATCATTTTAAATGAACAAATTTCCCATAAAAATACAGTAATATTTTCTAATATTTAAGGTTGATATATTTTATTATAAAAGTCATTCATTTAAAAAGCATTACTTCAAATTACAGAAGTCAGCAGACAGATATAAGGATCATACCAAGTAAGGAATATTATATACCTTGACTTGGATAAAAGTTTGATGATTTATCTTTTAAAATAATTTGTTAACTATAAATTTTATGTACTTTTGATCTGATAGTCCCAATAAAGAGTTTTGCTTTTCTTTAATATATTTACTTTATTTATTTTTATGTGGTGCTATCAAACACAGTGTGTCACATGTGAGGGGCAAGCACTCTACCACTGAGCTATAATCCCAGCTTCAAGTTTTGCTTTTCTTAAAGACATCAGTTCAAATTATCTTTATACAACTCAAGATTGCTTCTCAAATTTTTAAATTAATTTTAAATAAAATGATACTGTCTGGGTTTGCTTCAAAATATTAAAGAGATGGAAGTAAGACAGTGTATAGAATAAACAAAATTGTTGAAGAATTTATAAGTTATTTATACTAGATGATTCACAAGTGAGAATTAATCATATATTTCTATGTAGTTTTGTTTATATTTGAATTTTTCTGTTGTGAAATGTCTCTTCAAAGAAAAAAAAAAAATCACCCAGGATTTGGGCATGTAGCTCAGTGGTGAGTAGAGCATCTGCCGAGCTCAAACAAGGCCCTTTGGTTCCATCAAGCACAAAAAAAGAAGAAGAAGAAGAAAAAACCCAACCTATACAACACCAAACAAAACTCAGACTCCTAAAGCACACAAGTTAAGGACTGACTAAATCACACTTAGCAAAGTACTTATGTATCCTTAATCTGAAACAGAGAAAATTTAACTTTGTCACTAGTTATTAATTTTACATAGTAACACTGAAAAAAAAAAATAGCTAGCATTTAATTATTGCCACTTACTTGAGAAGCAAGAACAATAAGCCCACAGAAGTTCACTACCATATCTATCAAGGATAGGGAAGGTTCTAAATATTTGCTATATCATTTTCTGCTGAATCTAGAAAAATGCCTGAAGGGGACAGAAAGAATATCTTCCCAGATGTCCTGCTAGCATTAGAACAGCCTGGTGTCAGGGTCAGCTATAGCTGTCAGGGGGCTCCCCTGCCACCTCGAGGGAACCAGAGAAAGCTGTCAGAGTGACTGCCCTGATGCTAGCTCTGAGGGAGATCCAGATGATGCTCTCTGCGTCAGCCCTGGGGCCAAGAGTAAACAGAGGCATGCTGTGACAACACGGTAAAATGACTTTCTTTACAATCCTGAGAAGACAGGAACTTAACTCCTCAAGAATGTAAAGGCAAGCAGACCTCGACAGTCAAGGGTCAAATGGTTTCTCTCAAACCACTAATACGCAATGTACCAACAAAGGAATTCCGAGTTTAAACAGCAGGAAGGAATTTAGAAATGAAAGTCAAAATACAGGGTACTACAGTGGCTAGTAAATAAAATTTTTAACCCAAGGCCTTGCTATTTTTCCCCTCCAAACATTTGGTCTTAACCACCATTAAACAACAACAATAAAAACTAAATATTCAAATAATTCTATTTCAGTCAAGTTAAAATAAACTAAAGGCCAAAAAAAAAACACCAACTAGCAGTCACCTAACTGATTACTTGTTCTAGCATAATCATTGCACACTGTACCATTTTTCAAAATTAATCTGAGTGCTCACTAGTAGGACAGGCAACACACATGATCATTATCTTGTTGTCTCCTATCAAAGGAAGGTTTTAAGAAACTTAAGATTATTTATATTTTGTTTTTGTTTGCCTCAGTCTCTTGAGCCACTGGGATTACAGGCATACACCACCGTACCCAATATTTCCTGATTTATTTTATTTTTTTATATACTGAGGATTTTACCACTGAGCTATCCCCTTTGTCTTCTATATTTTTTAGTGTCAGACAGGGTCTCACTAAGTTACTGATGTTGGACACAAACTTGCGATCCCCCGCCTCAGCCTCCAGAGATTGGGATTACAGGTATGTACCACTGAGCCCAGTCCTGAATTAGAATTTTTGAGGGTGAAGACACATATAATTTTAGGATTTCTTTAGTGAATCCGAGTTACCCAATTTTTCAAAAACCCTGCTATAAAATAACATGAAGAATTAGAAATGAATATCATCATCTCTCCCTCCAACAGAGTGATGAGTAGGGTCCAAATGTTGGTTGGGAAAATAACGTTTCTTCCAAACACACATGAAATGATCATATTTCTTTGTTTAAAGGCTAAATGTCTCCTCAAAAATTCTGTAAACATCATGAACTCACCTCAACATGTAAAAGCTGTTTGTTTCATAGAAAATTAGCCATCAAATATCTTTTCTGTACCCTCTACCTGGGAAGTGATTCTCCCCTAGCTTCAAACAGAAATCACTTTCCTTAGAGTAATATAACAACTCTCCTTCCAAATCAACAACTTTATATTTGTGGCAATTTAGGACTTAGATTAGCATTCTGTACCTTAAACTATACTTACAATACACTAAAGACCTAATCAAGAGTCTATAAGAAAGGCTTCAAAAATGTACTTTCTGCAAGTTTTTATTTTGTGACTTTTAAAACTATCAAGAATCCAACTGGCAGAAAAAGGATAGAATTGAAAATAATAACTTAGTGCTTAGATTTCTACTTCAAAATGGAATCTCCATTTGCACACTACAGAGATAGCTTTTCCACTTTCATATTGAGCCAACACATAACCAACCATGGACACCAGAAATGTTTTACTTTCAAATTTCTCTCTTATGAATTTTATACTGCTGCCAGAATTAAAATGTCACTATGCATCTATACCAGATTTCATGTGACTGAAGATTATCACTGACCCAGTAACCAAGTCACTTAGATGCCAGCCCAAATTCTGTCTAACCAGTTACATATAAGATATTGGGCAAACTGTGCACTTTCTCAGACTCACACTATTTCTAAAAATAAGAAAGTAAGTGACTGTGGTTCTGTCTAGCTCTGACATCTAAAATTCTAAGTTCTGTACTTAACATATGTATTCCAAAAACCTTCTTAGTTTTAGTTTAAAAGGAGATAAAACAAACGACATCTCTAGTGCTAGCTATTCAGCACATCAGAAATTTCACTCTGTGATATAGTGTGCTGCTCCTAAGGCCACGAACCTGTATAGCATGTCATTGTGGGCAACTGTAACAAAGTGGTAAGCACTTGGGTAACTAAACATAAAGTACAATAAACGCACCAGACAACAGGATTTTTTTCAGCTCCATCCCAATCTTAGGGGATCACCCGCACACACCTGGTGCATCATTGACTCAAACAGCATTAATATGTGCATGACTGCACTCCTTAAAATTTATGAAATTCAACAGTGCTTAAAATTTTGCCACATAGTCAAGATTACATGAGTATCCAGCAAGTATAGTTATGTCTTACCTTTAGTCCATTTTGTGGATTCATTAGAAAATTTCTTCCTATGTCATCAAACATAATGGTGTTCTTTTTGCTGTAAAACTCGGAAAACTTTCCCCATATAACACCAAGAGGCTTTACCTTAGAATAAAATTTTAGATTTAACTCAAATTTTATCAACACTTCTTCTTCTTCTTTTTAAAGTAGAGCTATTGCAAATGCCCCACAGAAAAAGGTTAGAGTTCCTTTCATCCTATCAGATGGCTTACTCTGTAAGCTGATGAAAGGCCACACTTCAAACACAATGCTATCTAACAAGTTCAAATTTCTTAAAAGTTCATTCTCGTCTCACTGAATGAAACACATTTTAAGAGTTTATGAAATTTTAATATAAAGATTGTGGGTAAAAGGAGAGGTTATTTCATTTTTAAAGGATAGAAAATAATTCTTTAGATGTCTAAGCATTCACATGACTTCCTGAGCTAACACAAGCCCTCCCAGAGCTTGAGAGTTGTGTGGGGTCTATTGTCAAAACTAGAGACACTTTATTGAAGGAAAATGTACCTGGCTCTTTTAATATTTTATTGCAAAACAAAACTTGGTTTTGCTTTAATTCAATGACACAGGTGCACAATTACTAGTGCACTTGATTGCTTAATTTCAAAAGAGCCATAATTTGTATTTCTCACTCTTAATTCAGATTTCTTAAATCATGACTTCAAAAGGACAATTCATTATATAGTCGTATCTCTTGGTACTTGCATAAGATCACACAAGAAATAACGATGCTGCCTGTGAGGAGAATGGCTAAGGGGTCCAGGTGGGAAGAATTCATTATGTACTTTAGTTTTGTTTTTCAATCATGTGAATGTATTACCTACTCAGAAAAAATTTTAAAGACATAATATTACTTTTTGCTAAAGTCAGTAATTTATAGGTATTGTAATATTAGATTAAATGATGACAAAAGTTGTCACTTAAAAATGTTTTCTTTTTATTCACCTGAAATTTTTTCACTCTATGTTTACTACTGAAATAAAACTACTAAAAACTTGAAGACAAACATATAGGAACTAACACAATAGGCCAGATTCTTGATTTACTTTAGCTAACAAAAGTGTCAAGAAATGGGACAAGAAGGATGAATTTTTCTATGACACCTAGGGTTAGAAATTCCACATCGTCTTTCCCCATATAACACCAAGAGGCTGTCATTTGACTATGAGCCCACAAAACTAATAGGGATTGGGGAGAATTTAGGACACCAGGAAAGCTTAGGTGAGATGGTATTAAAATGGTTCCACTGGAATATTTTTGTTCTGAATTAGAAAAGTGATAATGCTGATCACAAAAAAATTTGAATATAGAGAAAAAGCACAAAGAAAACTTTTAAACCACATATAATCTGGTCAATATTTAGGATAGCAACTAAATATTCTGACCTATTTATCTTCAGGCTTCTATATCAACAGCAGATATAGAACACAGATCCTTTGTTAAAAAACATACAAAAGTTAAGGGCTATTTCCTAGCAGATAACAAACACTGCTCTCTAGAAACTTTTACTTTAATGTATCATAAAATTTTTAAATCATTAAATACCCTACTACACCAGATGATCAGTTGCATGCCATCATATGAATAAAAATATATAACTAATTTCTTATTCCTGCATATTAAGGATTATTTTTATTTAATTTTTCTCCATTATAACACTGCTATATTTAATATTTCCAAACTTCTTTTAAACATTTAGATTTTGGAAATGTATTACGTTACTTTAGTAGTTTTTCTCCTGAGCTGAGTAACTCTTCTACTGAAAAAATCCCCATGCACTTAAACCATTCCATTTATGACTTTTAACAATTTTAAATTTTAATCTCGCCTCAGGTTTTCCTAGTATTCTAAAGTTCTCTACAAATTCCTACCAGCTTGTGTGCTTTCAAAAGATCTGGACTACATCTCATTCATCTCTTTATTCCCAAGGCCTATTACAGGGCTTTGTAGACAGCTGGTACTCAATACTATGTTTACTTAAGTAAACACAGTGAACACCCCTAATCTTTTCAGCCAAATCTTTTTCCTGATGGCACCTGTTGGTATTCTCTAGGGCTACACGTACTTCAACCAAAGTACATGTATGTATCATGATGCACCTGTTATTAGTACTAGATTCATATAAGGCAGGGTGAGTAAATTTTGTTTTGTTTCTAAATCTTCCTTGATGATATTCAGTATTTCTCTTACCTACTTCGCCTGGTAATGCTGCTGACATCATCACAGACAATTATCTTTGACCACAATTCCTTTAGTGACAGTTGTGCTTCAAGATCCTTAGCTGTAGCACTAAAATTAAAATGTTTTAACCTTAAATACATTCTCCTATGTTGAAATTCAACTGCCATTGTCTCATCCACTCAGATGAGTTTCTAAACTCATTCTGTGGCTTCCTCCATCAGTATAAACACAAAAAGTACACTAGAAAATAAACACATCTTTAAATAGAAGTAAAATAAATAAGTTCTTACATCTATTAATCCTCTTCTTGGAGTATGCACCGTTATCATAGCAGCACTGTCCAACATGAAGGTAATCTTGTAATTTGCATTTGTGCTCACGCCCAGCTCCTATAAACACAAATATCTGTTAGGTAAAACATAATAATGAGGAAAATTTCAGGGTTTCTGAATATTCCAGCTGCAATTTCCCATAATGCCAACTTTTACACCACTGGCCAGATCTTGCTAAATGACCAAGTCTCTTACTTTCACTTAGCCAAGTCAACAGACGGTAGTTCAAAGAAAAATAAAAAGATTACTGCTTCACTAACCATTTTAAAGTGCATCACTGCTTTAAGAGCAAAAGGAAAACAAAGCCTTATTGTAAAGTGGGGGAGAAAAACAAGGGGAAGCTTAGCTGTACTTTTTCTTGAAATGACTCCAACATTCAGTATAATCCACATTGAACAGACTTTCAACACACTTCTGCCCCTGCTACTACAGAACTTTTAACAATTCAAATGCAACTTCAAAACATTTCTGAATAGCTTGTTTCTAATACTTACTTTCATTTTAGCTTCAATCCACTTCATATTTGTTGCAGCTAAAACATGAGGAATAATACAATACAAATGAAAAAGTATGAATTTCATTTTTTAAAAAAAGTCTTCTGTATAAATAAGTCTTCTAAGCAAGATTAAAAGTTCAAAAAGCATCACAAGTAACAGTCCCTCGCATATTTATTATTTTTTTTAAATATTTATAAAAAGACAGGTGTGGTGGTGCACCCTTATAGTTCTGGTGACTCGGGAGGCTAAGGTGGGAGGAACACAAGTTCAAGGCCAGCCTCAGCAACTTAATGAGACCCAGTCCCAAACTAAAAATACAAGGGGTGGGGATACAGCTCTGTAGTAAAACACCCGAGCTCTAATCCCCAGTACCAATATATATATATACACACATATATACATATATATATATATATATATATATATATATATATATATATATAAAAACTTATTTTAGTATGTCTTCAAGACAGAATGAAATTTAAACAAGTTTTATATAAAAGATACAGGTAATCCATGTTCAAAAGAACTCTGACCCCAGAAAACGGGTAAATCAAATTCCAAACTCTCTTTTAAAAAAAAAAGTCATGGAACCATGCTGTACCAGTTCCAAAATTTAAATGTGGGATGCTGAATGACAATTTTCTTCCATGTTCCTAATTCCAGGCCATACAAAGGTATATATTTGAAATATCAATATAAGCATATAAATATTGTGAATCAAAAGTCTATGTTAAATACTAGCTACATCCTGCATTTTGTCAGGCTCAGCAAATTTAACTCTCATTGAGTCCAGCACCTTGTAATAAAGAAACACATTCATAAAATGCACCTGTGTTATATAACCACTCACTGTCAGATATTCACCAGTTTTAGGATCACTAACATTAAAATTCAATCCTTATCTTTATGTGCCTACTAATCCCAAGTTATTGGACTAAATTGTACAGGTATTACCAAGTAAAACATTTTAAAAGAGGAAAAAGCAGTTTAAAGTGTGTGTGTGTGTGTGTGTGTGTGTGTTTTAAAGGCAAAGAAGAAACTTGAGTTCCCAAAGTAAAAATCTTCACATGAAAAAGCAAAAGAATCCTGTTACTTGCAAAAATGGTCAGTTGAACTAAAATTTTAGACTTTTGGATTTATAATTAAAACAGTCATAAGACAGGGGAAAAAACATTTTCACTTCAGTACCTACTTTGTGTCTGTGATTCTCAGATGAAAACAAAGAGACTAAGAGCTAATAAAAATAGTTTCTCATCATTAAGTAACTACCATACATGTCAGACATGGTGCTACTTGCTATACTGGTATTTCTATTCTTATAACTAACTCATAAAACAGATTTAGTGATCTTCATTTCTTAGCTGAGGAAAGTAGGGCTCAGAGAGATTAACTGACCTGTCTGTCCAGTGTCACACAACAAGGACAGAACCAGAATTAAAACTCTAGTCTATTTTAGCTCAAAAGTAACTCATTCTTTTCAACATACTATCATAAAATATAATGATTTACAAAAATAACCTAAAATTATCTTATTTTAACAATTTTTCTCATCTTAACAGCTATAAACTTATCACTGAAAATGGAAATATGCTGATTATAAAGAAAAAGTAGAAAGGAAATTTATAGATTAAAACAACTATCTTGCTTCTCATCAAATACCTAGTATAACCAAATGGTGAAGCTTTAATTGATGGGATTTCTGTAATGCACAATCAGAATAACTCTTCTCTGCTTATGACGTTGCCAAGAAGTGATGTTAAATATTTGTAGAGAAATGAGGCATAAATTAAAACACTGCTTCATTTTTCAAGAAAGTCTTGGTAAGAAAGAAAAGTCAACTGAACTAATAGGGCTTTTACTAATATAGAAGATTTTTTAGAGAAAACTCATTATCTTCTCAGAGGTTTTGGAATGGTCCAAATACCACATTTTGAGTAAAACTGCTTCAGTTCATACACTAATTTTTCCTTAATTTTTTCCGCCCCTCTTTATTTCTATAGAATTACATTAGTGAGTTTTTTTTCTTTTCTTTTTTTTTTTTTTTAAACATATCTTTCTCTATGTGTTTCTAACCTAGAGTGAGGAAGAAAGAAAGCAAAAATACCTTGAAACATCCAGGATTCCACTGGACAAATCAGAAAGAAAAATTTCTAATCAAATTGAGATCTTTCATAAGGTCCCTTTTTCTCTGACATTATGTTGTACTCTTGTCTGGTACTAAACTCAGCATTACGTGACAAATGTATGTACAAGTTAATAGCATGTTGTAAAAAAGTAAAACATACTTCATTTCAGAAATTTGCTAAAAAAAAAAATGAAAACAATTCCATATTTAAACTCAAGTCTTGCAAGTTCATACTTTATAAAGAATGATATAAACAACCTTATTTCAACTGAAATCTAAACAAAAAAATATTGCTTACACCAAATAACAATGTCATAATCTTCATATGCAGATGTTAGAAATTCATGAAGATATGGCCTCATTAATTCTACACCAGTCTCTGCACAAGACCTATGGTCTAAAAGAAAGTTGATAATAGATGTTAGGTTATTATCATGGACAAGTACCTAATAGCAATGAAATTATTATGAAATGTTATCTATTATGAAATGTAACAAACATTCAACTGCAAACTACTTTAAACTGAAAAAGATTTGACAAAAGGATATCTTTCAAAGCACAAAATTAGTATACTTGTGCTACCATTTTAATTGGTTAATTTTGCTCAATGTGCAAAACTAAGAATTCAGACTTATATTATAAACTGTCCATTTTTTATCGTCTAGTCTAAAAAGTTTAGATATTTGTGAAAATGAAAAATAAGCTAGGACCACCTATACTCCCATTTAATTATCACCTTGCAAGATAAAAATCATGTTCCACCAGATTGACAGGACTAATTAACTTATTAAGTCTTTAAGTGTTTAATAAATTATGACAAAGCTTAGGATTAAAAGTAAACCCATTCTAATATCAGGAGTTAACTACTTCTTGTTAATTTAAGAGGATGAAATGAACATCTTTTTTTCATTGACTGACTAAATATTAAACAGCTCAACTGTAGTTAAACAGAAAACAAGGGATAAAATACCAAAAGTGACTTTAAATTTCCTCATAAGAACTTAAGTGTTAGCCAATCAGAAATGACACAGTCAAATTACGATGTATCTACAAACTAGAATATTATGTAGCCAAAATATATAAATAATTATATTTAATAACAAATGATATTAAATGACTGAGATGATGCACAATCTATCACTGAAAAAAGAAAAAAAAAGGAGATACATACAAACACACTAGAAGATACAATCAAAATATTAAGAATGGTCATCTTTTGGTCTTTAAATTATAGAAGACTTCTTTTCTCGCTTATTTGTATTCCTACAATGAACGATATACTTTTGTAATAAGAAAAGCTGTCAAATAGTTCATGTGAACCCTGAATTGCTGGAAAAAAACAAACAAAAAGAAAAAAAAGTTGTTGTGGATAACAGAAAATGAAGTCTTATTAATTGACTTACCAAATAATGTATAATCAACATCTAGTACCAAAAGCTTTTTTCCTTCTCTGGGAGGATTTAATATTTCCACTTTGTATTCTTTCACTCTGCGAGAAATTTTCAGTAGGTTTTCTTCCCTAACGGGAAAAAATAAAATCTGATGAAACACTCACTTTTGCTCCCACGACCAAGATTTCCTCTAAAGTAAAGAGCACTTACCTATTTTCTACTTCAACGACTTCATCTTCAATGTCAAAGTCATTGACAACATCATCATTGTCAGGGGGTGGACCTAAGACATCTTCCTATTAAGATAGAAAAAAGTTTTGTTTATTAAAACAAATATACCCAAAGCACAAAAATCAAATGAAGTACAATTTAAGTTCAAGAGTCTTTCAAGTACACAATTAATAATTTGTTATATATGTCTCCTGGGAAGATTTATTGTATTAAGTTTGCACATTTGGGCTACTATTATACTTACAGCTAACTATATACTAAAAAGTTCCCCAGTATTTATCTTATGCTGAATTAATATAACAGTCACTGTGCAACTTTTACTTTTCACTAATACACTGACAATTTTACCACAATTAAAACACAACAGTGTAGTATATAAATCAAAATATCTTCAAAGGGACAAATGGTAACAAAAGTAAAAATTTACCAAGCTCTCCTCACGAGTTCCCATCATCATGATTTTAGTATTTGGTTTCAGTTTGAGAGCTCCAAGCTTAACATCATTTTCTGCAGGTTTGCCTACAATACAAGCAAATGACTGTTTTCTCACTAAAGTTCAGGTGCTGGTTTCACTATTCCATTACACAAACCCTAACATCAAAAGGTTTGGTACAGATGCCACAGCAGTTCAGGGTTTTTTTTTTTTTTCTTTTGCTAACAAACCGTTACTGCTGAATTAGTCCAATCTAAGATACTAAGAACTCACAACTATTATAAGGATCGTTTTTCCATATTCCATTTTAGAACACCTTTTTATTCAATTAACCAAAAAATAAACTTATGTTTTTTTCATTGTTTCAGATGAAGAAAACGCTTTTTCTAGGAAGCCTTGAAAACTGACACTAAAGAAAAAACTGTAGATTTATTGCTGCTCCAAACTTGTCCTTCAATAATTTGACAAATGCAAAAACTTAGGAGTCCCTTTTAAGTACAGTCCTATAAATTTTAAATATCATCTTTACCTTTAGAACAGAAAAGATAATTTAGGTAGAGTTAAAGGCCTAAGCTATAATGAGAATATTGTGCTAAAGCACAGATGTCAGAAGAGAACAATTTCATCTGGGACTTCTATGTCAAAGTTTTAAGCAGTAAACACCAATTTATGTTAAGAGGAATCAACAGCAGTCTTAATATTGGTAATATTTTAAAGTAACCTTTAATATTCTACTTTTACTACTAAAAACAATTTTAGGAATATCCCTATGAAAGAAATGTTAACAAGGAAAGTCTTATTAAAGAAAACAGATAATAGCAAATATAAAAATTCATAAATATCAATGCAAAAACTGTGAAGAGGGGAGAGATTTACCTTTAACTTTGAGTCCAAGTAACTTTTGGCGTTCTGGCAGCACTCCTGTAAGTGTCTTGAGAAACTGTTTGAGATCTAGCACAGTATCATCTTCTGAAAGTGTGGTCACTGAATATTCCTGTCCACCCCATTTTACAATGATAGGGAGAGCCATTCTTGAAGCATATGAGGCAGTGAGCTTTCCTTTGGGAAAAATAGCTAGAAAAGAAGGCACGTACAAATGAACTGGTTAGAATTGATATATCAAGGACAAGACTGCAACTTTAAGTCCTGTAAGTGTGTAAAGTTTTGAGTTCTATTTTACAAATTGATAACAGAGCAACAATATTCTGCCTTACAGAAGTGCTCCCAGAACACCTAGTAACAAAAGTTACTAGGCCTCAAAGTTACCTGACCACACTCTCACAAATTTGGCTAAGAGTTGCTGCTTCCTGATACTTTATGAGATTCTCTCTGTTGTTCACCTGGAAAGGTACAATAACGAGCTATCCCTCCTGCTCTATCTCGTCAGGTTTATGTTACAAGTCATCATGTTCATTTAATATTTAAGAAGTAGTGTGGTGCAATTGCTAAAAGCAATGCTACCTGGCTAGTATTTGATTCTGGGAAATTAACTTGATTTTTCATGCCAAGATTTCCTCATCTGTAAAATAGGAATGAGAATACTATCTATTTCTTAGGGTTCTGATGAGAATTAAATTACTTGATATTTATAAGTCGCACAGCACCTAGCACATGGTAAGCACTACATAATTGTTGGTTAAATAAATTTAAAACTGAAAGCTTACTATATTCTAGGCACTGTGCTAAATAAATAAGAAGCCATTATTTGTTTCATATATTATGAATTGGCCAGTTTTACACAGACAATCTCATTTAACACAATTGTTTGGTAAATGTTCCCTCTTTTACAATTAAAGAACTTAAAAACAGAGTTATGTAATGTGCTCATAACTGGGCACATAGCTGGGAAAAGAACAGGTCTAGTGACTAAATCTCATGTACACTGCATCCCCTAAACCATAGCCTCCTCTCTTGAACTGGACCTACAGGAATTAAAGCATCAAAGTCCAGTAAATACAAAACCCATAGGCACAGATCAAAGCACACAATTTTATATTGCAGCTGCTACTCTAATCAACTATCACATGTAGCTCTCTTCCCCCATAAAACTTTCTACTTCTTATAAGGTTTTTCCTCCCACAGTTCTGACCTTTTCTAATCTCAAAGAAGTCATTTCCAAATGTTTTCACTCATTTGATCAAACATTTGATTGCACTATTCATGGAATTATTACAACCAACTATGAGAGAAGATAAATTTTAAGCATCAATATACAAAAACAATTTGGAAAGAATATTTTCTATTAACATGCTCTTAGTAAGCAAGAATGTCAGAAATTCATATTTATATTTACTCATTTAAATATGAAGAGAATTCATGTTTTCCCTTATATAAATGTTTCACATTTATATTCATATTTATACTTACTCTCTTATGTTTATAATCTGTTCTCCTGAAAATTTAAAGCAAGTGTGTTAATTTGGAGTAACATGTTTACTTTAGAACTTGCTCTAATAAATTGTATAATCTTCAATAAAAAAAAGTTGGCCTTTTGAGTTAAGCTGCAATAGAGTTTAAGTATTATTTTCCTGTCAGAAATGAAAATAAACATGATATTTACAGAGTTCAGAAGGCATCCAGTACTAATATGTGTTGTGGTAAACAGAACAGAGTTTGGAGTGAGCTGCCTAAATTCCAGCACCTTGGACAAGTCATTTCTCTTGCAATCTAGAAGTTCTCTAGAGGTTCTAAGTGCAGTCCCCAAACCAACTAACAGGATTCAGCTCACTGTAACTTGTTGGAAATGCAATCAAAGGTGGAGGGAAGAGACCTAGCAACTTGTGTTTTAACCATCCTCATTCCATCATCTCCGATGCATGCTCAAAATTTGAGAGACACTGCTCTAGGCTCTGCAATGTTCTCAGCCTTAAAAAAGAAAATGTGCCAGATGGTATAGGTTCTGGTATAGGTACTTCATAAAGCAGCATACAAACACTGTGAAACACCTTTGCCACAGTGGGAATTTCAAGTTGGCATTGCCCTAAAGGACCAAACATAACCAAATACTATAAAGATTTTTAAATGCATAAATCCTTAAGGCTTCTTTTTAATGCTTTCACACTTAACCTTTCTAACATTTTGAATCATTTTAGAGGCCCATCAGACTTATAAACTGAAAAATGACTGAGGGAGGGGGCAATCAAACCTAAGCAGGCAAAGAACACACCTTTAAAGGATACCTAAAGAACAGCTGTTTAGATCCGAGATTTTTTTTTTCCCTAATACACTATATTGACTTTGTCTAGACAATTCCAACTCTGGTCTTCAGTTTTCTCAAGTACAAAATGAAGCGACTAATATTTACTAGACAAGAACAGAGTTAAGGTAGAAGATAATATCTGCGGAAGCGCTTTCTACACTAGAGAAAGCAATAAAAATGGTGTGGTTGAGAATATAACATACTGAACAATTTAATTGGAGTATCCCATTTATTCTTCACAATCTTGAATTAACAACTATTGTCTTCATTGTAGAGACCAAAAACAGGAAGAAAAAAAAAAAAAGAATAAGCTTAATAACTTGCCCAAGACTGCACAACTCAAAACATGGTAATCTCAAAGCACAGGAACAAAGTAACACTCTGGGAACCAACGGGAAGGGAATAACTTTACAACCAGCCCAACAGGCGGTAACTGAAGTGCTGTCAATTCCGGGCCAGGACGACGCTTCAGTAGCACCTCCAGAAAGGTGCAGTGGAGGGAGCAGCGTGAAGTGCGCGGTGTGGGACATCGTCAGAAGGCAGGGGAGACTCCAGAACCCAGGGGGCTGGGTGCTTTCAACAAGGAGGGCGGGGAGGGTTGGACAAACCCCAGAAGGGGCAGGAAAATGATCTGGTGACGCAGAATCTACTCGGGCTCGAGAAGGCCGCATACGAAGGCGGTAGCCACCGCCACCCGCGGGTCCGGGGCCAGGCACCTGGGTGTCGGACTCGGACAGCCACGGCCCCCGGCCCGTCATGGCCTACCGCGGTGCAGAACGCACGGCGCAGGCTGCAGAGCCACGTCCTCGGCCGCCACTGCGGCGACACCGCTGCGTGCGCGGGGAGCCCTATCCCCTCACCTGGAGAGCGGCGGACCCTGCTGCAGAGGACGCTGACACCGTCCACCAAAGAACCAAAGGCGACCGGAAGTGAAGGGCGGGACCGGAACCGGCTGACGAACCGGAAGTGGGTGGTATGAAACGGAAACACGCTGGGGACGCTGTGGTTGTTTCCCTAGTTTCTCTTCGGGAGCTAACCGTAGATAGCCACCGCCGGGGATCGCCACAGGCCACGAGGAAGGAACCCTTTGGGGACTGTGGCCACGGTGCAGATGCCCAGGATCGCTCAGTGGCCCTCGGGCATCGCCCGCTTTGCGCATGCGCCCGGTGGCGGGCTTAAAGCGGGAAGGTTCTATGCTCGGGCGCGTGACGTCTTCTGTATTGTTTCGCCTAAGTCGGAAGTGGGTGGGGTGCGGGGTGGTTTCGTGCTGAGCTCTGGGTGGGACACGGGGCTTGGACTGCTGTTACTAACTGAGGTCGAAAAGATGACCTCCGGATGGCTTGACACCTCTCTGTAGCCGCAGGGGCCACCGACGCTGATCATTTCGGGGGCTCAGAATGTTGCCGAATCTAAGAGGAACCTGAGGAGCGTCAGGAAAGGGAAGGGGCAGCCTGCTTGACTCGGAGACCCAGGAAGCACATGTGAATATGAGAGCTGCCAATCACATTACTACTTTGCATCGTATCTCATCTCCACTTTCCCATCACATCCCCATTACTTTCCCCCCTTGAATGCAAGGAAAGCCAGTTACCCCGACAAAAGAATTTAAGAATTAAATGGAAAGTCAGAGCAGTCCCCATCTCTTCCATAAACGGAATTCCCAAAACGCAAAAAAAAAAAAAAGAAGAAGAAGAAGAAGCGGAGGATCATTTATCACAAAGATACAGGGAAGAGCAGTGGAGTGGGAGGGAGGAGGGATGAGAAGAGAAAATGTGGAATGAATTTAACAAAATCCCACTTTATGTGCATACATAAATATACCACAGGGAATTTCACACTTATGTATGAGTAGAACCAGTCAAAAAAATAATGAGTGATGAAAAGATCAGTAGAGTCTAGGAAGAAGAATAGGAAGGAGGGAAAGGGGACTGAAATTTCACGCATATATGATTTTTGTCAAAATGAACACAACTATTATGTATAACTATAATGCTCTGACAAAGAAGAAAAGGAAAATGCAGATAGAAAAGAAAAAGACCCAATTGCAAAGTTTACACACAGAAATTAACTATATGTGCATTCAAACGATGTGGGTACTCATGGACTTTGTAAATGATTGACAGGTAGGAACCAGAAAGTATCCTGGGATGAGGTATAAAGGGCCATACAGGGTCATGAAGAATGCCAAACTTCACTGACAAAATTTAAATTCAGAATACAATTATAAGATTCATTTTTGTCTGAGCACTGATATCCAAACTCAGACAAAATGAGATTGAGCTGTTAGCCTTGTAGCCTCTTATGCAAACTTATCACCATCATTACTCCTCTTTTAATTATCGCTGCCTCTGTAACTATCACAACCTACTACTTATTTGGTCCACAAAGACACTATTATTGCCCAGGCATTGTTTGTACACCAGCACCTACTACTACCATATTCACTCCCCAGATACATACACCCCCACTTGTAGCATAAACATAACCAGACCCATTACCTTTGTTGAGATATGATGTCCAAGACTGATTGCTAGGTTCACCTGACCATCAGTCTCTCCATGCTGTCACCACCAGGCATCATCTCCATCCATTCCAATTAATCTACCCAACTCTCAAGGGGCAACTTACATCTCATCTTATCCAGATACATCTTCATATGAAGACAACTGCAGTGAGTCAGAGGACTCACATCCCACAATTGAAGGGCATTGCTGGTTGTACAGACCAGACTGAAAACATCACCCCAGCATTTAGTAATTGAAATACACCCACATTTGAGCTGATGGTGGCCAATGTTTAGCAGAAAACTTTGAAGTTTATGACTTGCCAGTATTAGCCTGGCTACTCATTTACTTGATTTGAATATATTTCTAAACTTCCACAGGTCAGGCTTAATGAAGGACAGCATAGAACCTTAAGTTCAAGTGAATTACCAGTACCCTTTTGGTTTGAAACTCAATATTTGCCGCCTTTGAGGATGAATTTGACTATTAAGTTGAACCCTAACTTAATCCTGGTAGTCATATGCTTAGCTTTGCTATATTCATGATATTTAAATAGCACTAGGAGCCGTCTTTTATCATAGATAAAGGAACACCACTAGCTAGCCTTACTAATACTACAAAGGAAAGAAATACATCTAAGCCATAGAGGGAGCCCACAATCAAGAGCCAGAAAGTTCCCCCTACTATATTAGGACTCACAGAGAATATGCCTTTATACATCCTTATTGATGACATGGCTCACACAATAAGACTAATAAAAGAATCATGGAAGATCTTCATAGAGAGAAACCTTTGCCACCACCAGACCCTTTTCTTCTTATAGCATGGGTACAAAACAATGCTGTAGGTTCTTCTTCCAAGCTATTCAGACAGTCGTGGGATGGAAGGAATTTTCTCATGCATGACATAATTACTTATCAGAATGCATAGAGGACATATATAGTTGTGATAAATTTTGTCCATACAACAAAACCTTTAACAATATAACACATTCATGGTTCTCCCATTGGACAAATATAAGGAGAATTCATGATATCCAAATCTCACATAAATTTATGTACAGTGACACTAGAACATGACACATTCAATTACACACACACATATACCAATCCCAAACATAGAGCCCTATGTAAATATCCAACAAACACTACATGCATGCATGAATCTCATTATACATTCCTAGAAGGGGCTAACAAATTTATGAGTTCTGGTCCCAACTGGTACTCCAGCAGGGCACAACGGACTACGATGATGATTATGACGACGATGGGGATAAAAATGCTAGCATAACAACAGCTTTAACAACACAGCATACAAAACAATCAATACAAAAAATAACACTACTATAATATGTATGTATTCACAAATACACACAAACACACACTAACTTTCAGCTACAAGGAGGACACACACCCTTACTATTTGGCTATCCAAAGGGAAGAAACATAACATCAACAACAATCATGTATACATACCTCTTAACAGGATTCTCCAATTTTTTTCCTTTGACAACATCTGTACTGGAATTGACCCTATGATAAATCATTCAGACCAATACTGCCTCACAAGAACAGACAAAGATTACTGTTGAGAGCCACAGCAGAGTCAGAATGATGCCTGGCATATTGCCAGAGGAATGGTTGAAAGGTGACACCAGCGAACCATTGAGATGATGATTTGAGTTAAGCTGTTTATAATTGCTGTGATGCTGGATTGATTGAGTCGTATATGGACCCTGCTCCGGGAATAGGGCTGCTCCGGAATCGGTCACCCGCTACTTTGGAGTTCCCGAGCAGTTCTCACGGGGTTCAGGGAGATTGGGCACTCAGAGCCCGATGGAAGGAGTGTGTTCCTGAGTAGTGTGTGTGCAGTGCCGGTGAGAGTTGGGGAATAAAGAGTTGCTGTTTGAACCTACAAGGCTTTGTGGCGGCTCGGTTATTTGTGCCCAGCCAGACTGCGGCAGATTACATGACATCAGAAAAAAATTTATGAAAAATCTAGCACACACAAGTTGTCACCAGCAGTTGGATGGAAATACAGACTCCCTCCTACTACACTTGCACAACAAAGCATTCACATACAATGAGAGAGAAAAATATGGCACCCTAAAACGCCAGGTCAGGCCCCACACATCTGGTTCCTTAAGCCCAATTTAATTTGCATGCAAGGATATATTATTATCCAGACTACAGCATAAATACATGAGATAACCTGGCATTATACATATTTTCACATTTTTCACATGGGGACAAGACCACCAAAGAATTCATGGCTTATATGCAGTACAAAGACCTTAAATCAGCCAGGCATGTTGACCTACCCTTGTAATCCCAGTGGCTGGGGAGGCTAAAACAGGTGGATTACAAGTTCAAGGCCAGTCTGCGTGATTTAGTGAGGCCCTAAGCAACGTGATAACTTGTCTCAAAAAATAAAAAGAGTTAGGGATGTGACTCAGTGGTAAATTGCACCTGGATTAAATCCCAGTACCCCCTCCAAAAATTTTCTGACTATGAATCAAAGATTTCTTTTTTTTATAAAAACAAATACTTATGATTTCCCGGCAAAAAAAATCATTTCCATAAAACACAGACTTATTACTTTTCTGTAATCAAACACATACAATATAACAATATTAAGAGCAACCAAGGATTTAATCTCACATCACACAGTAACATAAACTGCACACATTTTGAAGATGTGAAATGGGAAGAAAATGTGGACAGATTATGATTAGAAATTCAGATTCCATTAGACGGTACAACTTTCCAAGACAAACAAAAGTCCCTATCATCTTCCATCACTATCCCTGGACTCAGACGAACACTCAAGGCAGCACCCAAAGCCTAATAAAGATTATCTCAGAGGGAAGTCATATGCCATGTGCCTTGTGCTCCATGGTGGCAATAAACTGATTATGATGAATAAATAGAATATGATGCACACAATTTCTTTAAATTCATTGGACTACACGTGACATGCAAATTATTATTTCTCAATTATGATGCTACTTTCCAAGTCACTGTTATCCACTGGGCCATACTCTCCAAAATTTAAGACATACCTAATTAATTACACATTAAGAAAATTTAAGGCAGAATACATTACAAAGAAACACCTAAATTCTGCTCCCTGTATCCCCTAGATTGCTAAATTTGCTGTTATTCAAAGTGCTGCAAACAATTGCAACCTAAACCATGAGGTGGACATCGTGAAGACTAATTTACCTTAAATTCTTGGGTACTATGTGACTTAGAATAGACTTTGAACAATATAGTAGGATGAGGGGTTTACCCCAACTATACACCATTACCCCATAAATATAGCAGCTATACCTATGTTAGAAACATAGGAAACTGTGTGGATGATATGTCACAAATCAATCACTGAAATGCAATAATTAAAATCAGACCTCAGGATCAAATGTTCATGTTGTTATAAACTCAGAATGTGTGAAGTTGACAAAACCATGTTACCATGTGTTGAGAGCCACAGCCAAGTCGGGATGGCGCCTGGCATTTTGCCAGAAGGAGTGGTTGGGAGGTGACGCCAGCTAGCCATTGGGATAATGGTGATTAAGTTAAGCTGTGTATAATTATTAAGATAATGACTGATTGCTGTAACTGGATGATGCTAAATTGAAACAAGCTGTGTATTCAGTTGTGTATATAAACCTCTGCTGTCCGGCAATAAGGTGGCTCCTGCTACCTCGGGTGCCCGCTACTTTTGAGTTCCCGTTGAGTTCTTGCGGAGTTCCCATAGGTTCTTGCGGAGTTTCGGTGGAGTTCGAGAGAGTTCCTGTGGGGTTCGGGCAATAAAGTAGTTCCTGTTTGAACCTACAAGTGGCTCGTGACTTCCCGGTTATTGTGTGCCCAGCCAGACTGCGGCAACCATGAATGGAAAACCTTATCTAGTCTCCTGTACCCATAGGAGAGTAGGTCATACAGAAACCTTCCTAAGCCATGGCATGGTAGAACCCAAGAAATCCTGTGGGCCAGTACGACATATGTGGATACTGTTACAGAAACAAGCCAAGAGAAGCTCAAAACTGTCAGGAGTGATGAATGAATCATTGCTTTGAAATGTCCTGGACATTGGATACCCCCTTGGGAATTTCTGATGCAAAGGTGT